CAGTAGACTCGGTGGGATACGGCCAGTTTCTCGAAAGATAGATAGATATGAAGTAGAAAAAACAGCAGTAAACATGACATTAAGACTGGCATCAAGCAAATACACCCACCTTGTCTTATGTTATTAAAAGAGTGATGCTTCCTGTATTATCTGTAACCACTAGTATTAGCAAACCTCAGTTTAAGCTGACCTCAATTTTCTTTCACTGTGAATTTTTAACACCAATATAATGATTCTTAACTTACTTGTGTACTTCATATTGCCCTACAATTTTTTATCTCCTTAAAGGAAAAACAAATAATGGAATAAAAACATTGCGGCATGCCACTTATTCTTGTTCATACTCAATTAGAAATGTCCATCACTAACCTATCCAGCTTCCAAATATTTATCTGACTAATTTACATGCACACATAAAATGCATTATTAGTTTCTATTTTCAACAAACTGTACCATAAATGAAATACACAGTACTATATATCTTTTGTAACTATCAAGTTTTCAAATCTTTCATTGACCAGCAATGACATTCATAAAAAAGTAACTCTCACTGAACATAAAGACAACAACCCTATTTCTCTTGATAAGTTACCCTGATACAGCTTACAAATTAAGCCTGATTTTCTATTTTAACACTGCGGTATTCAAGGCGAATATTCTATCTCATACTTCATATATACCTATAAATAGTCCATACAAAACTTTTACTTATAAATTATTTAACTAAAGTCAAAGCTCCCCACTTAATTAACTGGTATACCAAATATTATCATAATTATTATCTCCTTATTTAGCTATATAACAATATATACTTATATCTATAATAACCTTCCCTATATCTGACTATCAATTTGGAAAAAAATATTCACAGAGAACTATTAAGAACTTTCTCTCATGCTATGCTTATCACTTGCATAGCAATTTTCACCTGATCAAAAATCCCCTCAAAAATGGCATATGAAAGACTAGTATTCAGTAAAGGCTGTGTCCAAAGTGACTTACAATGTGGTGTAGAGCCAACGTGAGTGTGCACATGGAAAACTTCAAAAAACTTCTACCCCCCCCCCTAAGTTCCACAATTCATTTCAAATAATTAAGAGGTGCAAATTAAACACCTTACAAGGCCTGGCATTTAACACTAACAGTTTCAAGACCTGATAGGGCCACCAGTCAAAGATAATTTTAAAAATCTACCACTAATGAAAATTTTCAAGAAATTCTTCACAATTAACTCATAAAATTTAAAACTCCCAAGTCAGTTTTACCTATCCAAATAAAAATTAAATTTTGGCACACATGCTATTTCACAATGGACATTCAGCTTATGTAAAGTACTATTTTCACATTTTTAAAATATATTTGTAGAATATTAACTAACACACACACACACACACACACACACACACACACACACACACACAGACAGACAGAGACAGAGGCAGACAGACAGATAGACAGACACACACACACACACAAACACACACACACACACACGTTGTTCCTTAAATAGTTAAGCTATACATTCATAATCCTTCAAATTCACCTTAAAGCTGAATTATTTTAGGAAAGACCACCTTTTAGAAACTGACAAGTAAATTTCAGAATACATGAAACACTATAAGAAACACTATCAGTAGTCCATCATTGCCTTCCGCTGACTAGCTAGTTCTGAAGCTCGTCCAATAGATCTTCTCGGTCTCTTCTCTAAAGGAACTGGCATGATGTCAACAGTTGCTTCTAGTTGCCGCTTCCGACTGGTACTCTCTCTAGTGTTAACGCCCGTCAAGTCACTAACATTAATGGAAGATGTTCCTGCTTCTTCAATGCTGCTTGTAATCCTTCTTTGTGAACCAAGGAGTCCATTTTCCTTAATTTTTGCCAAGGAGTTTGCATTTGGAAGGTTCTCCTTATCACTATTCTCTTCTTCCGGTCTGCACTTTATCTCACCTTCCATGCAATGAAGAGCCTCTGCTTGTACATCTAAGGAATAACTTGCACTTGTAGCTTTTGACAATTGCAAGGGTCTTTCAAATTCTAATGTCTTCATATCAATACTACTTGATATGACTTCAGTGCTATTGTGATCACTGTTTGTGCAACTATCAGCAAACCTGATATTCTTTTCTGAAGTTTGCTTCATTGTTGCAACTGTTCCATCCTCACTTGTTGCAACCTTTTCGTCATAATGAGTCTTGGGCAGTGTGTGACTTTCCCACAACAAACTATCGTCTGCAATAGGACTTTCTCTCAAGGTGCAACCAAGCCAAGCTCCATCAACATTATTCATTAGCCCTGAACTTGATTCAGCCTTCTCCCTCACATAAGATTCCTCATAATTAACATCTTTGTTGTTCCTCATCTCTACTTTATCATTGTTAGAAGCGTGTACTTCAACAGCTAAAGCACTAACTTTCTTTTTGGACGCTTTACCATTCTTGACAGTGAGAATTTTCTTACCTTTTACACTACTAACTTTCAACATTTGCTTTACTTCAACTTTGGAAAACTTTATTTTCTTGTCTTTTAATGAGAAATATTTGTGTCTGATATCTCTTATTTGTTTGGATTTCTTGTCCTTAAAGCATATTACTTTAACTCTTTTAACCTTTCTGCTTACAACATTACCATCTTCATTTATTTCTATCTTATCTTTTTTCTTTTTTGGTTCCATTTGTAATTCACTACATTTCTTATCTGAAACGCCACCATCAGAAAATATACTTTTCTGTCTTTTACTTTTAACTTTACCATTACAGGATTGTTTTTTATTTTCACTACTATAAGAACATGCAAGAACTGAAAATAGTTCATCAAACTCTTCCCAATTCTTTGGCTGTTTACACCTTTTATGTACTAGTTCAGAAGGCTCATCTTTATCTGGGTTTTCATGTGCAGGGAAATCATCTATCACAAAATCTTCATCACCACACTTAGGCTTATTTAACGAACCAGGAGGTCGACCACGCTTTTTCTTTTTCAGTAAAGATTTCTTTTTCAATAACAAATTTTCCTTTGAAACAGCTGCATCTGAATCCCCAACATTCATACTTGGAATAAAACCTCTATCATTAGTTTGTGTTTGAGCTAATTCCTTGTCCTTAGCTACTGCCTCTAATTCCTTGAGACGCTGTAGTCGTACCCACTCTCTCTCAATCTCCCGCTGCTTTCTTTCCTGTTCACGCCGCTGATTTTCCCTTTCTTTCAGTTCTTGATTGGCTTCGTATCTTCTGCTTTCTAAAATATCTGCCCAGTCAAGATCGCTTTCAGAAGAGTCTGAGTCACTCTCTGCAGTTTCCGTATCAGAACCAGAACCTGAACCGCACGATCGTTCTTTCACTAACCCTTGACTCAACAATTCTCGCCATGTTGGGTAACCATGTGTAACAAAAAGTTCATTATGAATCATCTGCAGAAGGCGAAAATAGGATATTTCAACCTTGTTAGAGGGGTACTCAAATTCTTTTTTGTATCTTAAATATAAATATTCATCCTCTCTCAATGACACAACTTCCTCTCCCATGGGATTTGCTGTTAAACTTGGTTCTGGTTTGTACAAGTCCAAGTCTTTAAAAACTTCAATAATGCTGTCCTCTAAACAAATTGTGTCCTCGAGAGCTTCAAAATCTTGAGAAAACTCTGGTTCAAACTCATTAAAATTTCCTAATTCAGTTATCCTATGAGCAGATTCACACGAGCTAACAGGCAGGAAGAATATATCAGGCACTAAATCATCTTCAGTGACATCTTCCTCCCCATCTTTCAAAGCATCAAGTTCGGTATGCATCACAACATCTTCTTTTATAGTCTCCAGGTCACATTCACTGACATCATATATCGCTGACTGACGAGGCCAAGACCCGCCAAGCAGTGCCCACGACTCAGCCTCCTGGAAAACACAGGGATAATGGGGAATTTCAGCCTTGTGTCACAATCAGTGATGTCCCATGGCATTAATGCTCAGCTAACTCAGTGAAAAATAAACACTCCCCACTCCATTCACCCACCATTCAGTTTCATCAATATGAGAAAAAAAAATTGGAAAAGTCTTCAAAGCTTTAACTGAGCTGCCATGAGTAAACAAGACACAGCTGTCCCCCACATCCCATGTGATTTCCAAGGTGCCACCCTATGCCACCCAATACTTGATGAATTTCCTTATACTTAATATTATGCTTTCACCACTTTCTAATACAATATAAACAATATATAAAATGGACCTTGGGCAAGACACCAACACACACCGTCCTATGTGAAATACCCATTCAAGTAGACAACTTGTAGCTGGCTATTAATATTTCAAAATATTAATTTACATAACAAAAGACTAGTATACCTTGCTCATATGGGCTAGTGTGTTGTATGGTGTGAGGCCTCAACCACCCCTTTCAAGCACTATTTATGGCACCTTTGGGCAATCACATAGGACAGAGGGGTAGTTGCAAAGAAATTATATAGGGCCAAAGGATAACAAGATTACAATCAAAAGTAGACAACTTTTCATCTTTTATATTGGGTGAAGCATCCAAATACAAAATTAATTCCAGATAATCTCCATTCATTACATTAACCAATCACTTATAAACCAATATTTTGTTCAACAACTTCTCAGCTTTAATAGTTTATATACTGCACTCGTGTGTCTGCTCCACAAAGACCCTTCAAATGATTTTTAATTCCTAATCCCAATATTAACAAGAGTAGAAGTTGATGATAACTAAACTGTCTAAAAATTGCATGAATCCTTTCTTGATATTATTGATAGTCATAAGAAGAAACTTGAATCGGAGGCCCAAAATTCAACCATACATAGCTTTACTTCTAACATAAAAACACCATCTGCTCTAAGCAGTCCTGAAAATACATACCATTAGTTTCAGTTTTTATCAAGCATAAGGAAAACTAGGGCACCAACTAAAATATACACAGAAACATGGTAGATAAAATTTATAAGCAATCAATAAGTTTATAAACTGTAAACATGCTTCTGATAAGACACTCACCCATGGACGGTCTGGAGTGGGTTGGCAGGTGCTGTGTGCTGATGGTCCAAGGCACTCCAAGTGGTAGTAATTGCGACAATCTGAACACCTCAGGAGAGAATCTGCTCCTGGGGCACCACAAACTTGACACACGGCACACCTTCGGCATATCCAAAATATTTCCTCTGCCTCAGACTCTGGGCCCTCACCATCCTCCAGGCAGTAAGGATGGATGCCCTCACAACACCACGCACAATAGATCAGCTAAATAAAAAAAAATAATAAACATAACATATCTTTACACACTTTAAAAATTTTAAGCTCTAAATTTTTCCTATACATATACAGTGGACCCCCGCTTAACGATCACCTCCAAATGCGACCAATTATGTAAGTGTATTTATGTAAGTGCGTTTGTACGTGTATGTTTGGGGGTCTGAAATGGACTAATCTACTTCACAATATTCCTTATGGGAAAAAATTCGGTCAGTACTGGCACCTGAACATACTACTGGAATGAAAAAAGTTCGTTAACCGGGGGTCCACTGTATACTAATGATGTTTTCATTAACAAAATCCGAAAACGCAAACATATTTGACAAAGAGGGCGTGGACATCCAACAGGCATGTGTGTGTTAGACAGCAGTGAGTACAGACAAGTGGGTTTTATGACTTGACATGCTGTTAAGAGTGTAAGCAAGGTAACATTTATGAAGGGATTCAGGAAAACCAGTTAGTTGGTCTTGAGTCCTGAAAATGGGAAATACAGTGCCTACACTCTGAAAGAGGGGTAGTGATACTGCAGTTTAGAGGGGCATCTGAACTGTAGTATCTGAACTGTAGTATTGTGTGCTTCTGGCAAGACAGTAATAGTGTGAGTGATGGCAAAAGTCACCCTACCTCAAAGGAGAAGGCTGGTGTTAAAAATCTGACACTCTAGTAAAAATGCCATGAGGTCACCCAAAAATTAAAATGGATTATAAGAAAGTCAGGGATATTATACTGTTACCCGTAGTTTACATGTAGATTCTGTAGGTGACTGCCCCCATGGCCAGGTCCCAGAACAAACCTCTTATCGGTTCTCTGAACCTTTCATCTACAAACCTCCTTTGTTGACAGCCTGATCAACTAGGCTGTTGATCCTAGCTGCACATAGTCCAACATAGGTGCTGCAGCCTGGCTGATCAGGAACTAATTTTAGAAACTCATCAATTCCTTTTTGTTGACTGCTAGGGGTCTACTGGTAACTCCCCTTGTATATGAAGGCAGGATGATTAAAAGTTTTTCTCTCTTAAAAATTTAAATTAACTTTCTGTGTACTAATTGCACCCCTGCTATTAATCTGAGGTATTTGAACCATCTGCCAAGCCTCTTGCTCTTTGTAAGGAGCAATCTGTGTGTGAAGGTTTGAAACCAATCATATTAGAAGAGAAACAAGCAGCAGTAACTGGTTGGTCTCCCTCTGAGCCTAATTCCATCATGAGGCTGTGACAGCGACCAATCAGTTTCAATAGTGGTTTGCTGGGATCAGCCATGAATAATGTCTTCCCATGTAATGCCACCAGTGAGGAGTACAACTTTAGAATCTACACAATGAGAGCCTAGCACATTATTCCTCACAGTGGCTGCTTCACATATGATCTCATAGCCCACAGCCTGACAACCTCATCCTCACTCACCCACCTCTCACCCTTCTACTTCAGATTCATCAAGACTGTTAGATGAAACACCACCTTTTCTAACCTGAGGGTCTGATCATCTCAAACTACTATGTCATATACCATCTGCAGCATTATTCTCTGGATTGAAAACCCCAATGATTAGCAAAATGTTTCCAAAAAAAAGATACCGAACTGTTCCCCATGTGCCTTATTCACCTCTTTTAACTTAGCTATACCAAACAAGGTAAAAAATATCCAGCAGCTCTTGTAATAGTAAACCCTGGCTGAACCTCGACTTGGACACTATTCTGCTCAACAGGGAAAGCTAGGTCCATGTTAGGAGCTGATCATCATAAGTCAGCTGAAATAGGGACTTAAGGATTTTTCAATTTTTTTTTTTTTTTTACCCAATTACATATTCAAGTTCATCTAGTTAACCTTTTGAGGGTCTGTGCTGTAGTTCTAGGGCTTTGAAGCCAGGGTCCGTGCTGTAGTTCTACATGATGAGCTCAGCTCATTCAGATAAGCTGTCGGCGGTAAATTTCGGCCTAGATATGAGAGAATGCATCAATGTGGTAAGTGTGCACCACATAAAACAAATCCTGCAGAATACAGTGCATAATGAGAAAAAAAAACTGACCGCGTATTTGGTCTGAGACAACTTTGCGATGTATTTCCATTGTTTTTAAAGTTGTATTCTAAGTTTCTTTGTCTCACTTGATAGAATGGAAGATATTTTACAGAAATAGACAAGATTTTGATGGGTTTTAAGAATAAAAATAGCTTGAAATTGAGCTCAAGGCAACAAAAATGTTCGTTTTTAGTTGATGTTCAAGAGTAAACAATTCACATCAAGCGTCCAATACACGTCAAGTGGTGGGTCTAATATGCATTCACGAATGCGCTGATATTATTTACACTTACACAGGAGCTAGGTCTCGACCCCTGCAACCTCAACTAGGTGAGTACACACACACACACACGCACACGCAAGCACACACACACTCACCCACACACACTCACTCACACTCACTCACACTCACTCACTCACACACATTCACACCCCCCCACACACACGCGCACACACACTGATAACTCTCTCCACTCATTTGCAAGTCCCAAATGAGTGGATAGAGTTATCAGAGCTTATTTGTTGGATAGCATTGAGGACTGGGTTGGGAAAATGTTTCATTAGTGGGATGAATTGTAAAGGACCTGCCAAGCATGGGCCAACAGGCTTGCTGCAGTGATCCTCCTTTCTTATGTTCTTATGCTCATCAACCACTATCACAACTGCTTCCACTCTACCACCACCATCTTTGTATTTTTCTACAAACTTTTTCATAAATTATGTGTTTCTCACATTCTTTACCAAAGGGCTGGCACTAGAAGCTTTCTTTGGAGCCATGGTAGCTTATTTAGCACTTGCAAGCACTAAAATCAATGGAATATTATGAAATATTTCGTAGGAGCATGTGAGGGGACCGTCACTCACTGGTAAACAATGGCACACTGGCTGGGAAGGCAGGCCCAGGCGGCTCAGAGCACAAGTACCCGTCCCGGACGAAGGATGATTAGCGAGTTAACAGACCAATTGCGAGCCAATGTTTAGATGAAATAATAGGACTATTTCCGAAATGGACGACTTTCAGGCCGGACGATTACTGAGGGACCACTGTACGTCAAAAACCCTAGGTCGTAAGCCGTACTAGTACGGCCGAAACCCTCAAAGGGTTAAGGAAGGAGAAAGGCATCAGACCAAGCAGCACAAGCTAGTCAGGTCCAACTCACACCCACTCATGTATTTATCTAACCTATTTTTAAAAATACACAACATTTTAGCCTCTATAACTGTACTCGGGAGTTTATTCCACTCATCCACAACTCTATTACCAAAACAAGTGCTTTCCCATATCCTTCCAGAATCTGAATTTTTCCAACTTGAAACCACTGCTGCAAGTCCTGTCTTGGCTGGAAATTTTCAGCACGCTATATACATCCACTTTATTTATTCCTGTTTTCCATTTATACACCTCGATCATATTCCCCCTAATTCTACGCCTTTCGAGAGAGTACAGATTTCAGCCCCTCGATCTATCCTCATAGGGAAGATTTCTGTAAAGGACCCCAATGGAAATAAGTCACTCTGTCTGACTTTTTTGGGTTATCCTAGGTTCTCTACACATATGCTGCTATGTATGATAATTCTATGTAACTGTATTGTGTATACCTGAATAAATTTACTTACTTACTTACTGATACATGGGATCAACTTTGTCATCCTCCTCTGTACGTTTTCCAGTGCATTTATATCCATTCTGTATTACGGAGAACCAAAACTGTGCAGCATAATCTAAATGAGGCCTAACCAAGGATACATAGAGTTGAAGAACAACCTGAGGACTTCTATTATTTATACTTCTAGATATGAAGCCAAGGATTCTGTTAGCTTTACTGAAAACACTAATGCACTTTTGTCTTGGTTTTAGATTACTGCTAACCAGAACTCCTAAATCCACATTATTTAGTTTATATGTGGCATGGTTATTTTCCTGTCCAACATTTAGAACTATGCATTTGTCTATATTAAACTGCATCTGCCACTTCTCCAACCACTGCATCAGTGTATTCAAATCATCCTGGAGTGCTCTAGTGTCCTCATTAGAATGAACTGGTCGGAATATTTTGGTGTCATCAGCAAATATGCTTATGTCGCTATTTATTCCTTCATCTATGTCATTTATGTAGACTGTGAACAACAATGGGCCCAACACTGACCCCTGCGGAACACCGCTTGTGACATCCCCCCATTCTGATTACTCCCCATTTATGCAAACTCTCTGCTGCCTATTTGTCAGCCATGTCTCGACACAGGAAAAAATTTCTCCTCCTATTCCGTGTGCCTTAAGTTTCCTCAATAGCCTCTGATGTGGAACTTTATCGAAAGCCTTACTGAAGTCCATATACACAATATCATATTCATTACCATGGTCTACCTCCTCAAACACCTTAGCGAAAAAAATTAGTAAATTCGTAAGACAGGAACACCCCTTTGTAAAACCGTGTTGAGATTCATTAACCAATTTATGCCTATCAAGATGGCTACGAACTGCTTCGACAATTATCGATTCCATAAAATTTCCCACTATGGAGGTAAGGCTGTAAGGTCTGTAGTTCAAAGCTGAGGACCTGTCACCTGCCTTGTAAATAGGTATTACATCTGCTATTTTCCACTTGTCAGGCACTATGCCAGTTTGTAGTGATATGTTGAAAAGATTAGCCAAAAGTATGCTAAGTTCCTCTTTACATTCTTTTAACACCCTTGCAAACAGTTCATCAGGGCCTGGGGATTTGTTAGTTTTAATTTCTCTATTTGTCTGAGGACCATGTCACTTGTTGCAGCAAATGTGCATAGTTTATTATCGTCCTGTTCTACATAATCCATTATTTCAGGAATTTCGCTAGTGTTTTCCTGGGTAAAAACTGAGAGGAAGTAAGTATTGAAAATTTCACACATATCCTTATCCCTGTCAGTGATCTGACCTGAGTTACTCTTAAGTGGGTCTATCTTGTCCCTAATCTTACTTGTGTGTACCTGAAAGA